AATTAAAAACTATAGTTATGACAAACACATAATACTTATTGAAATAAAATAAAATCTAATTATAATTAAAATTACTGATAAAAATAATAACACAAATAAATGAAGAAAATTATTTTAGAATATTTTAAAACAATATTTTCAAAGAATATAAAAATATTATAAATTAAACGTTGAAACTTGAAACACAATGTAAATATGTAAATATATATATAACGATATTTTAGGTTATTGAATTAAAAATATTATACTTCGGTACGTATAATTTATAAGATGCAAGGTACAATTATTTTTAAAAACGTGAGAAATCGGTTTGCCATATTAAAGTTGGTCTAGAGTGCACTTCGTCATTGACTATCGAGCAAGNTTATTGAATTAAAAATATTATACTTCGGTACGTATAATCATTGATTATAAATACTATAGATTGCTCACTGGCCGGTTTTTCGGTGGCGTGCTATTTGCACAGTATCGTTAGGCTGCGCTGCGGACGCATTGTTAGTTGTGAACAGTAACGCTGTGGTCGCTAGTAGTCACGTCTGGCCAACGGTGAATACAGGCATTGATTATAAATAATTTATTACAATTATAAATTATAATCAAAATAATATTATAATCTATTTATAACAAATTATACGCTTTGTCAGGAGACGGCGAGCACGAGAGTGCGAGAAGCGCCTCATTCCTCCATTCCAGACTGTTGAACTGTTATTTAAACATTACATTGTAACTATTTTTACACAGTATTGTAGTACGGGCGTAATATAATTTTCACCACTTTAAGTTTTTTTTTTTGTAAATTATATTATATTGTGCAATACACTGCTAAAATGTCGAGGAGAAAATGCTCCTATTTTAATTGCTACAATATTCAAAAAAATACAAACAAAATATTTCATACCTTTCCTTCAAATACTAATTTGTTAAAAAAGTGGATAATTAATTCCGGTAAGTACATATTATAATACATAACATTATATATATAATAATGTATATGTTATTTTTTGTATTAAATTTCAGAATAATCTTTTAAGTTCAACAATTATAACATTAAAAATCATTATATACCTATTTATGAACAGAATAATGTACTTAATTTAATTTTTAGGGAACATAAAGTTAGATGCAATAAGCCCAAAAAAATTAAAATATCAGTTTTTATGCTCGGAACATTTTGATAGAAATCAGTACAGCAATCCTGTTGACCCTAAATCACGGCTTAATGCTAATGCGGTACCAAAAAAATATTGTGAAGGTAAATTGTATAATGATAGACTACAATGCACCTTAAATTAATTAATTTTATTGTTGTGTTCTAGTTGAACATGTAGATATCTCTATACCGGCAGACAATATTTTAAATTCGCCCAAATCTTGGGATTGGAATGTCTCCAGTACAGAATTTGATGAAGGTATTTAAAATATATATATTAAACGATTTTTATATATATATTTAACGATTTTTGAATTTTGTTATATTTATATAGTAAATAGTAATATACTACATGCAACGTTTTAAGAAAAAATTGATTAACCATACCGTATGCATCCGCAATTCAATTTACCAGCTACCGTATAATAACAATATCAATACAATTTAAAATATCCTAGACTGACATACCGTCTCCGCTCAGAATCGTTTTTCGTATACAATGATATATCATTGAATTCAAATTTAATACCATCCACTATACCGTGATCTACTTGTAACCTACTGTACAGCAGAGCGACATCCACTTGACCCCCTTTTTTTTTTTACAAAAACACATATTGCTGAAGAAATTTAGATTGGGGATGGGGCGTTTTTTTTTAACTGGGGCACAAAATTCCTAAATACGTTTCTGAAGACTTCAAAACGTTTTAAAGATATATTTCGAGATTTCCTTTACACTTGTACCAATTATTTTTAGTACCTCAGCCACAAAAACAAGATTATGTACATGAAGTGTTGATCACAACTCCAACGAAGGTAAAAAAGAATGGAAATACAATTGAAGAAGGTATGTACAATTTAAAATTATCTGTATTGAAGCAACCGCGGGCGGATTAACTAAAAAATTCAGCCTAGTTAACTACAGTAAGATAGGCCCACCCAGTGCCGGATTACCCATTAGGCGAAGTAGGCGCCGGCCTTGGGGCCTTACTCATTTAAGGGGCCCCGTGAAAACGAAAAACCACACTTTAAGATTCTGAACGGAGTGATGAATGTATTGATTTCACAATGATGTGTTTTTTTTTTTGTGTCTGACGACAACATTTGGAGCAGTAATAATGCTTCGATTTTCAAAAGTAGTACCTTTTCTGAAAGGAAAGTCAATCTAGTTGGTACTTTGGGGGGGTCAAAAGTGAAAAATTTCCAATATTTTTCAAAAGGTAAAAACCTTAAAAAAGTAACGGAAAAACGGAAATTTTTACGCAAAACCAATTTTCGACAAAAACGAAAATTTAATTTTACTATAACTCAAAAAATAATTACTGTAAGCACTTGAAATTTTCAACAAATGTTTATATTAGCGTTGTCTATACAGGGTTAAATTTTCAAAGTGTTTTGACTCTTTTTGAGCTATTTATAGACAATCATGAATATTTGCTAATTATTCTGTAGTTAAAAATGTATAAACAATTTTTTATTAAAAGCTAAGAAATGAAAATTTAATACTAGGTTGTCCATAAGTTGAGCTTAGAATAATTATAAAAAAAATTGATGATCATTCAATTAAAAAAATTTTACGAGTGTTTAAATATTCACGAAATCAAAACTCACGGGTAAAATAACGATTTACAATCAAACGAATTTTGATTTTGGTTATATTTGTATAGTAAATAGTAATATACTACATGCAATGTTTTTAGAAAAAATTGATTATCCATGCCGTATGCAACCGCCAACCCGTCCTAATTGAAAAATAAATTACTTGAAATAAAATAATAACTGCAATATTTAAAGACAATGTATCCTAGACTGACAAAGCATCTCCGTTCAGAATCGTTTTCGTATACAATGATAACTATCATTGCATTCAAATTTAACAAACACATTATAGTGACCTACTCTATGACCGAAGTCCACCCCACCCCCTAATGTACAGCAGAGCGACATCCACTTACCTGCTTTTTTTTTATTTAATAATACCTGTATCATATTTAAGAGATTACGGAAACAAATGTCCATTTTTTTTTAGTTTTTTTTCGAAAGATGTCAATAAAATTTTATTTGTTGGCTAAAAAAGCTTGAAAATTTAATAGAAGGCTCCTAGTATATTGTTTCAAAGGCAAATGAAAAATATTAAAAATCCTTAGTCACAGTTTTTTTTTCTAAGCATTTAAAGTTCATAAATTGACAAAATATGGAAAAATCACTAAAATTAGCAAATTATTTTCAGTTAAAAATTTGTAAAAATTTTTCTTTTTAAATCTAAGGTTTTTAAATGTAGTACAAGATTCCTCATAAGTTTGTCTACCTTTATCAAAAAAAAAATTTCAATAAGAAATTCAAATTATATTTTTATGAGAGTTTGAAATTCAAATTTTCACAACATTGGATATTCACTCGATTTCTCATGTAGCGATTTCCTTATTTTGTTGTAATTCAAAAACAAACGAAGTTAGATACTTGAAAATTTCATTGAATGTTTATATTAGCATTTTATGTACACCATACAATTTTGAAAATATTTTGAATCTTTTTGAGCTGTTTACGGACATTTTCAGTTTTCAATTTTTTTAGTTTTTTTTTCAATAAACATCTTTTAAGTTTTATCTGTTGGGCCAAAAAGTGTAAAAATGTAATACAAGGCTCCTGATATATTAATACAATATCAGTTGAAAAGTATTAAAAATACATAGACACAATTTTTTTTTATAAGCATTTAAAGATCGAATTTTGACAACATTTATCAAAATCTCGAAAATTATCAATCATTGTAATTAAGAAATTATAGAATGTTCAGTTTTTATATTTAAGGATTGAAAATTTAAAACAAAGTTCCACGTAAGTAATTCTGTAACCGAAAAATCTAAATAATATATTATAATGACAACTTTTCCTGTTGAATTGTGTCTTATGTAAAAGTAAATAGGTATTATAATATTTTTACAGCATCACTGATAATTTTAAGTTAATAATTAAATATATGAATAATATTAATTCAACTTACCAGCTACCGTATAATAACAACATCAATACAATTTAAAATATCCTAGACTGGCATACCGTCTCTGCTCAGAATCGTTTTTCGTATACAATGATATATCATTGAATTCAAATTTAATACCATCCATTCTACTGCAGTGACCTACTTGTAACCTACTGTACAGCAGAGCGACATCCACTTGACCCCCTTTAACTTTGTATTTTGTATTTTTATTTTATTATTAATTTTCACTTTTACGGCATCATCATCATCATATTATTATTATTATTATTAAGCCAAGTTCTAGCTAACAGAACTGGCGAGCAGCAGCGTGTGTAATATTAGCTGGTACACGAACCATGTGGAGCCGCTTTTGACCCCCTCATAACTCAAAAACTATTCCACATAAACATGTCAAATTTGGCTCATATATTGAGACTTACGATATGCATATGTGCTCCAAATTACATATATACGTCAAACCGTTATTTAGAAATTTAGATATTTATGTCCAAAAATCGTTGTTTTTATCACTGACTTTATAAACGACAATAAAATCTTATTCGTTGGGTAAAAGGGCTTCAAAATTTGAAACAAGACTTCTAATATATTGTTGCAATAGTAGTTAAAAAATATTAAAAATACATAGTCACAATTTTTTGTAATAATCATTGAAAGTTCGAATTTTGACAAAATACGTAAAAATCACAAAAATTTTAATAATAATAATATTGAGTTAGAAATTCATAAAAAATTTTTCTTTTTAAACTTAAGATTTGAAAATTCTATACAAGATCCTTCACTTGAAAATTCAACATTAGATTATACTTTACTTATAACTTGTTATTATAATCTACAGTATAATTCACTAATCTAGAAATACATATAAGCACAATACATTTTTTAAAATATTTTAGGTTCATTTGTAAGTGTTGATGAGCTGATGGTTAACAGTAATAATAAAGTGTTGAATACACCAACTGAGAGATCACCAACTACAATGTATTCTCCAAAATCATGGAAGTGGAATACCATTAATCAATCTAATATTGAAGGTAAAAAAAAAATTAATTATAAAAAGTATCAGGTGGAATTAATTAATTCAAAATCATGTATACCTATATTTATATGATTTTAGATTCATTGGTAAAAGTTGATGAGACGGTTTACACTACACCAGTAAAACAAAAACCATTAAGCACAAACCAAGAATTTGAAGGTAAATATTGTTATTGTCTATATAGGTAGGTACTTCTATACATTTAAAAACTTAAAACAATTCAGAAATCACGGAATTTTTTAATATAGTATTCATATTATAATTATATTTGTTTATTATAAGGGAATAATATCTACTCAATTTCACCTGAAACAATTAAAGTATTAACACCAAAAATAAAGTACAGTAACAATAAAGAGATTCAGACTCCAGATTTTTCAATATTTGACAAAACACCACCAACGATATCACCAGCTACGAAAAAGTATGTATCACAATTGATTGAATTGCCAAGTCCACTAAATAAAGTAAAAAATACTAACATGGTTGAAATATATGAAACCAAAAAACTTTTGCGTGAAAATAATATTTTACAAAAAAAAGTAAACAATCTAAAAAAATTACTTAAAATGGAACGCACCACAATTGGTTCATTAAAAAAAATACATAAAAAAAAAAATATACATAATAATAAACCAATTAATGTACATAGTATTTTTGAGGAATTAAAATTTTCCTCAGAAAATTCTAAAAGTGTTGTATCTATGCAATTATTACACAAAAAGCGTAAGAAATGGTTAATTAACGAAAAAAAAATTGCATTATCATTGTACTATAAGTCTCCTGCAACGTATAAATTTATGCGTAAAAATGATATAATATTACCTGGCGAGAGTACCATTAGACGTTGGTTGAACTCCATTAATTATTCAACCGGATTTCCTCCAAAATACATGGAACAAATTAAATTAAAGATTTCTGGAATAAAAGGTAATGAAAAAAAATGTGCGATTTAGTTAGATGAAGTATCAATAATGAAATATATTGAATATAATAAGATTTTGGATGAAATCGAAGGCTTTGAAGATTTGGGAACTTTAGGACGAAGTAACAAATTAGGTTCTCAAGCATTAGTGTTCATGGTACGTGGAATTTATAAGAACTGGAAATTCCCACTATGTTATTTTTTTACCGGCAGTGGTGTAAAAGGAGATGACTTAATAAAAATTGTTAAGAATTGCGTCGAAAAAATATTAAATCTTGATTTACTGCCGACTTGCATTATTTGTGATCAGGGTACTCAAAATCAACGTATGTTCAAACTTCTTGGAGGAACAGATGAAGACCCATCTACTATCATACATAATATAAAATTGTTTCTAATATATGATATGCCGCATTTAATCAAAAGCCTAAGAAATAATTTATTAAATGGAGATTTCGAAGTCAGTGAAAATAAAATTGTGTCAATAAACGATATTAAAACAGCGTACAATATAGATGTTAAAAATATAGCTCGAGCAATGGTAAAGATTACACCGACTCATTTGGCACCCAATCCATTTCAAAAAATGAATTGTAAATTGGCGATTCAATTATTTAGTCATTCTGTTTCCGCAGCAATAAAAACCTGTATTGCAACAGGAGAACTCAAGTCGTCGACTGCTCATAACACTGCTAACTTTATTGATATTGTAAATAATATGTTTGACTCTGCGAACAGTAAACATATATATGATTTAAATCCTAATAGAAGGCCAATGTGTGACCGAAATCCACAAGTATTGAACAATTTGGAAAACGCTAATTCTATATTTAAAAATGCACGGAAAATATGTCACAAGACAAACAAAATTAGCACACCGCCATGTTTTGTGGGGATTTTATGGACAACTACTGCTATACGTCAATTATACGAGTCCGAAAAATTGGAAATAATGAACGACAACCCAAAACAAGAATATTTCCTTATGACTAACCGTCTGACGCAAGATGCGTTAGAAAATTTCTTTTCAATTATGCGTCAAAAAAATGGGTAAGCATATCTATAATTAATTCTATAACCACAAATCTAAAAAAATTATAATTACACAGTTTTTATGTTTATTTATTTTAAGTTTACATTTAGACGAAATCACATATTAAATAACACAGAACAACGATTTTAGTTTTATTATTGTAATTTAAAAATATTGTTCTTAGGTACTTCTAACTTCTTAATTATATTATAATTTATAATAAACCAACACGATAGTATGCAAATAATATTAATTCAATCTACCAGCTACAAAACAATTCAATTATAATATAAATATAAAACATCTAAGCCCCTAGGGGCTGACAAACCGACTCCATTCAGAATAGTTTTTCGTATACACTATACAATGATATTATATTATCATATCATTGCATTCAAATTTAACACCATCCATTACAGTGACTTACTTGTAACAATTTATACAGCAGAGCATCATATCTACTTACCCGCTTTTTAAAAATTAATTTAATTGCACTTAAAATGAAAATAATAGTAGCCTAACCTAGCCTTATTTTATGTTGTTAATTTCCTTATTTTTTTATTATTATAAATATGTTTTTAGGTATAATAGAAATCCAACAGCTAGAGTATTTCGGTGCTGTTTCGGGCATATATGCTCATTTAGTTTAATGAGATGTAACTCAAGCTGTAGCAACTGCGAAACTGATGATGGCGAATTTCTGACTGTGGATGTACTTGAAGGTATTGATGTAGAGAATGATAAAGAATTGTCTAATTTACCAGTGAAGGAAAATAATTATAATGAAATAGATTCCGATTCAAGCAATTCGCCAATTTTGTGTAATAGCAGCCCATCGACCAATAATAGTAATACATTATCACTAGAAACATGTTCAGTAACCTATTTTGCAGGTTACCTAGCAAAAAAATGTTTAGATCAATTTAGTTGTTATGATTGTGAATTAAATTTAATTATAAGCAAAACAAATTTATACGACGAATCACTACTTTTATTAATGTATAAAACATATGATCACGTAGATCCTATTCAAGGACTTAAGGCTCCTTCAAATCAGCTTCTACAAATTGTTAAAATTTGTTTGGATGTTTTTGAAAAATGGTTTCCAATAATCAAGAGCTCTAAAAAACTTATTTTTCAGCTTAAAGAAAATGCGAATGTAATTATTAACAAACAATTCCCTAACTTTCAAAAAACAAAATGTATTAACCACTATACATATATAATTGAATTATTATTCAGAACAAAATTATTCAAAGAATGTAAAAGGGAAAATACGAAAATCAGAAGCAGCAATATTCAAAATGCAGCCAAATTACGCGTTCTGCAAAATCAATGATTATTTTTTTATAATTTATTTTTTATTTTTATTTTTTATTTTTTTATTTATCATTAATTATAATACATCTATAATCAGCTAGTGTTCGTAAATTTATGATTTGTATATTAAATTATATTGCAGTATAAAATATTTAAAAAAAGGTATTACATGTGTTTACATGTATTTTGAATTTAAATATATAATATTTTGTTTTTTTTAGCTAATATTGTCTTATAAGTTTTATAATATTATATGTATATATTTTACATTATTTCAAGTTATATTTAACAATTTATACTATAAGCTATAAATTATAATAATTTACAATTCATACTAGGTGTTTACTGTCTAGGTAAACTAGGAATCGTCTAGTACGTAATCCTCGTATCGTTCGTCACTATATATTGTCAACGACCGTTTTGCGGCGAGTGTTGGTTTATGACAATAAATGACGATAAAAACCTGTTATCCCCGCGGCCCGCACTATGTTTGTTCATAGTTACGGTGACTATATAGAATAAAATAGGAATTAATTGGTAATGTTGATTCTTATCGCCATCTAGCGAGAGTTTTATTGTACGCCACCGAAAAATCGCTCAGTGAGCAATCTATAGTTTATATAATCAATGGTATAATTTATAAGATGCAAGGTACAATTATTTTTAAAAACGTGAGAAATCGGTTTGCCATATTAAAGTTGGTCTAGAGTGCACTTCGTCATTGACTATCGAGCAAGTCACTGCAATAGATGTGTTAAATTATTTGAATTCATCGATACATCATTGCGTACGAAAAACGATTCTATGCGGAGACGGCCCGTCAGTCAATATTACTAAGCATATTTTATTTTATATTTAAATTGCTATTACCTATAGCATTTATTACTGACTATTAGTAATAGGTACGTGGTACCTACGGTGTTGGTTGACTTAATTTTCGCCTAAAACATTCCACTTATTATATTATATTAATTACTATAATAATTGTTTGTATTATTGTATCAAACTATATAATTGTTAATAGCTTTTGAGTTGAAAACGACTTGCCGTAGAAAGGTGCGGAAATATAGGTTCTCTTAAGAAGTCTCTGCCACTAAGTTTGTATAATAGTAATCAAGCATACCGACGATTTAAGCTACCAAATGTTATTTTATTCATACTTTATAGGTATGGAATTGAAAATGAACCAATGGCCAAAAGAGATGTTGAAAACATTTGATTTTTATTTATTTTAGCAGGGTTAATATACACACTACATTTAATTATTAAGCCTCGAGTCAGGGCGGACTAATTATTATCAAAGACATGACTATAGAAATTAATTGAGTATAAATGGGTTACACCGGAAGAAGCTGTAAATAACAAAAATTAAAATTTCTTATTTATAATGATTGAAAACAAATACATAAAAAAATTATTGTTACTATTTCCAATTACAAGGTGCAAGGACAATTTAATATTACAGAAAAGTTTGTGTTATTTTGTAGTATAGTTGCCCAAAAGTAAATACTTCATTTTCTTTATTTCTTATTTCAAATCAACATAATCAATAAACATTTTTTTTTAAAAGGTTTTGTAAATGATCAAATATTTAGAATAATGGAATTTTGGAAATATAATAATTTAACTATAAAAAGAATTGTGAATCTTCTTCAAATGTATTATTGGGTTGAATAGGAATTTTAAATTATTTTTTAGAGCATTTTTGATAATTTTTAGGGCATTTCCAAGGCCTAGTCATTACTTATTTCTATTTCCGTTAAAACCAGCAATGAACTGAAATACCTTACTTAAAAAATCAAACCAAATTATATTTTTAAGTAAAACTTGTAAAATACTAAAATGTAGCTGTTTATATTTTTCCATTGATTTTATTTCGAATCAAGTTACCTATACCCAAGTTTATAAAATAAATGTAAATTATCTCTAACAAAAAACAATTATTGACTCTATTAACAAACATAAAATAAATATTTAATATTAGAAAATATTACGTTGAATTTGAAAGTGAATAAAATTAATTATAAAAAATACATATTTTTTAGGTTGTTGTTGATCAAGAAGTAATAAAATTCTAATATTTACTGTAAAATACAAAAATAAAGCAAATTTAAATCATCTATGTTTAATACAACTGTAAACATATCAAATATAAATGATTAATATAATGTATAACAAAATAGAAACATATTTTAAATGTCTTTATAATCATTTGAAAATATTTGAACTCTTGTAAACTTAAATAAAACGAAAATTCGTTAATTTTGTATCAAGAATAAAACGATTAAATTATTATATAAAATAAAAGAAACATAAATATGGTTTTCCAAATCGTATGCGACAATATACGATGCATTCCATTGTAAATTTTGTCTTATACTTTATAAATTATTATATAAATGATTACTTTAGGATTAAAGTCACAGTAATGGTATTTTCTTAAATATTCTAATTTTACTAACATCATTAAATGGTAATATGTACAACTAATACTGGCTGAAAACCTGGCGATGCCAATAAATTGATTGTCTAGTAACCACGTAATTGTTCAAAAAACAATTACAATTAAGTAAAATAAATAAGTCAATAAACTCGAATGTTTTCAGCATTTAATCGCCGTAACTATTATAAAGAAGAACCAGAGAAAATAAAAGTCTTAAAGGGGACGTTTCTAAATT